AAGAAGCAGATGGCACTGACTTCTGGCTATCATCCACAGAAACAGAACAGGAAAAATAAGAAGTTTCTGTGCCTGAGTTGGGGTTATAACTGAGGTTTCCAGCATCCAGACAGGCAAATGCCTGGACAGCTGCTTAGGGCAGATGGGTCCTCTGACAGCTTAATATCACAGAGTTTCTGGTGCCTCTGTAGTCAGGGCAGCCAATGTGAGACCATCTGTTTACCAGTGGGCAGAAAAGCTCACGACCAGCAGGTAGCTGCTGCTGAGGATGAGACACAAACCCAGAACCGAGTCAGCCGTTTTCATAACTTCTGCAAAGCAACCTGGCCTGGTGAGACGCTGGCACCACCACCAGAGGGAAGGCCCACGTGCCCTACACAACACGACCACACAGGACGAGGGTATGCCCAGAGGTGTTAGGTTTGCTCCGTTTTTCATTTTTATATTTTTTAACTTAAACATCTTTTTTCTTATGGGGCGCCCAGGTGGCTCAGTCGGTTGAGCATCCGACTTCGGCTCAGGTCATGATCTCACGGTTCGTGGGTTTGAGCCTTGCGTTCGGCTCTGTGCTGACAGCTCAGAGCCTGAAGCCTGTTTCAGATTCTGTGTCTCCCTCTCTCTCTGACCCTCCCCTGCTCATGTTGTCTCTCTCTCAAAAATAAACATTAAAAAAAAAGAAAAAAAATTTTCAGTATAGTTGACACACGATGTTACATTTGGTCTCAGGTGTGTCCCAAGAGGTTTTATTTGGGTTTATTCCAAAGTATTCAAATGCCATAAGATAGATCATTCACTCACAAAACTTTTTTGTTCTTCTCCACTTTTCTAAACAGGAAAAGAAAATCCAGGAATTCAGGTCTATATAATAGGCCTAAAAACTAGCTGTCATTTGTTTATCATTAAAAATGAAAAAATAAATTTAGATAAGTAACACATATATTTAATTACAAAAGGTTTAAAGTAAAAAATAAATAAATCTCCCGCCTACCTTTCTCCTAGGACCCTATCTTCCCTCCTTCCCTCCAGAGAGAACATTGGTACCCATTTCCTGCCTATCTTTCCAGAAATTGTCTATAATATACATAATCATCTATGTATGTATGTATATATATATATACACACATATATAAATATATACATATGTATTTTTTTCTTTCTTATTGGCTATATTTAAAATAAACAAAGACATTAAAGCCTCTAAAAAGAACCAAAGTAAAGAAGCCTGTTTAACTTCATTAGCATATCCTACTGGTATTTGACTTTGGGTTCCCCCCCCCCCCCCCCCCCCGCTTTTGGTAGAATTTCTGATCTGTGGAACAGAGCCACGACTTGAATGGTACGGCTGTATCAGGTATTTCTGGATGGCGTTGACTCTGGATTGGTCTGTGCTTGAGTAGTCCTTTTTTTTTTTTTTTTTAAATGTAAAGATTTATTTGCTTTGAGCAGGGCAGCTCTTTGCTGAAATGCAGTGTTTTGTTTTGTTTTTTTAATGTTTACTTATTTATTTTGAGAGGAGAGAGAATCGAGAGAGAGAGAGGGAGAGAGAAAATCCCAAGCAGGCTCCGTGCTGCCAGCACAAAGCCTGATGTGGAGCTGGATCTCATCAACTGCAAGATCATGACCTGAGCCAAAACCAAGAGTGTGACTCCCAACCAACTGAGCTACCCAGGTGCCCCTGAAATGCTGTCTTGAAGAGGTGAGGGTACCATGTATGGTTGTTCTATAGCTTCTGTTCAGGTTGTGACCTCACACCGCCCTTCCGCTAGGCTGTGACCTCACGTTGCCCTTCCGCTCAGGCTATGACCTCACATTGCCCTTCCGCTCAGGCTGTGACCTCACACCGCCCTTCTGCTCAGGCTGTGACCTCACACTGCCCTTCCGCTCAGGCTGTGACCTCACTGCAGTATCATCTGCATCAGGCTGTTTTTCCCGTCAGCTGGGAATGTCCTTTCTCTTCACTCTCTTCCAGACACGGGGTCAGTGTGACTTAGAAGAAGTTCCTTTAGGCCACAGGCACTCTTGGACCAATTTGGGGGCATTTTATTTAGGATTTAAAAAAATCGCATGAGAGTGAGACTGGGCTATAATTTTCTTTTCTTGTGCCATCCTTATTTGTTTTGGGGATAGTGTTGTGCTGGCCTAATAAAATGAGATGCTCTCTTTTTTTAAATCCACATTAAAAAAATGTTTTTTTTTTAATGTTTAATTTTGAGAGAGAGAGAGAGACAGAGTACAAGTGGGGGAGGGTCAGAGAGAGAGGGAGACACAGAGTCTAAAGCAGGCCCTAGGCTCTGAGCTGCCAGCACAGAGCCTGATGCGGGGCTCGAACTCACAGACCTGAGCTGAAGTCGGACGCTTAACCAACTGAGCCACCCAGGTGCCCCAAATGACATACTCTTTTATCAAATTTTTTAGTTTTCCCTCTTCTCTCTGATACTTGGTTGGAATTTTGCTAATGGATTTTAAGTCCTAATCCTCTCTATAATTTTTTTATTCATTTATTTTGAGAGAGGGGTAGGGGCAGAAAGAGAAAGTCCCAAGCAGGCTCCATATGGTCAGTGCACAGCCCGATGTGGGGTTCAGTCTTACTAACTGTGAGATCATGACCTGAGCCAAAATCAAGAGTCAGATACTTAACCAACCGAACCATAGTGGTGGCCCTCTCTTTATGATTTTTTAAAGATAATGACTCCTGTTCAAATCTAATCTATCAATGCTATATTTAGCTATTTTGAGCCTTTTCCTCTGAGTTCTAACCAGAGAACCTCTCAGAATGTACTTTGGGGAAATTATCTGGAAGATAAAATATTGGTCTGAACTCAAATCCCTTTCAACTTTGGATTTCCTCAATTAACCCAGGGACAAATAAGATCATGTGCTCCATCACTGTACTTGTAAAACCCAATAATGTTTTTTAAATGTTTACTGATTTATTTTGAGAGAGAGAGAGAGAGAGAGAGAGAGCACACAGGGGAGGGGCAGAGAGAGAGAGAGAGAGAGAGAATCCCAAGCTGGCTCTGTGCTATCAATGCAGAGCCCATCAAGGGGCTGGAGCCCATGAACCATGAGATCATGACCTGAGCTGAAATCAAAGGCTAGATGCTTAACCGACTGAGCCACCCAGGATCCCCAATACAGTGGAATTTTTCAAAGTCATACCAATGATATGATACTTGGTAATAAAGGAAAGCAGTTAGAAAAGAAATCAAATTAATCTTTCCTTAAGAATCCAATAACAACTTGATGACTAACTCTAAGTCAAAATTCCAAGGTTGAATTTCTTGGGGGCAGGGAGGAGGGGTTTTATCTTTTATCTATGCTTGACCTTTTATTCATAGAATAAGAACATTGAGAATAAACCATTAAAAAATCTAGCATTTTGACAGCCTTCTCTTCCTCCAATTTATAATTTTTAAAGACATTTGAAATTCTTCCATACATTAAAGATAGGAGAGAATACAACTAGAAATGTTATCTCAGAACACATATGCCAGGGAGAGAAAGCAATTGACAGTGCTAGGACCAGTTTCCCTCTTCCCGCCACTTACAGCAGCATTTAACGGGAGTCGGAATTTGTTAAACAAGGACCCAGCCTGAGAAAAAATATTTCAATTTTCCAGGCGAAAACTGTGCATTAGTATAGGCTTGATCCAAATTAAAATTCCTGTAAATGTCCTTACTTTGCTCTAACTAAATTTCAGGAGGAAAAGAAGCCTCCTAATTTGAGCCATGACTTTACTATAGAGATGACTTCTCCATGTCTTTTCCTTCATTCTAAACTCCTTAATATTCTCTTAGCTTTCTTTGGCAGATGGAAGGGAATTTTTCAAAGGCTTATCTGTTTAACATTGCATTTTCAGTAATTCCTTAGATTCTAATTTTTTCCACCAGATGACTATTACACATTATTTTATCCACACCACTGAAAAGCATTTAACTATATATTTAAGGACCTATTTTGATCTAGAATACAAAGTTTAATAACATAAAATAAATGGTTTGCGCAGCCCACTTCTAAAATTATACTATACACACTGATTAGCACAATGAACACAGTTGAATTAGACAGGTGGACATCTGCTTGGAAATAAGCCTTTGTTTAGAGAAAGAAAAGCCATGTCTAAATTAAAAAAAACAAACAAAAAACTACACAATACTAATAAGGAAAGTCAATTACTTCTGGCAACATAGGGAGTATCGCAGAGGAAGAAAAGGAACTGGACCCTGAGTTTTGAGAAGCGGTCTTCCCCGGACATCAGGGTGGTGGGCGTGGGGAGGTGGCAGAGACAGCTCGCCACAATGGAAAGAACCTCCGACTTTGGAGTCAGAAACACCCTACCTCAAATGCGCAATGATGTCCTGTGGGAAGGAAAACCCTGTCTCTAAAACAACTTCAATAAGTAACCAGACAGACCATTCACTGGTCTGCATCGCCCTCAGGGTTGACCTGTGCATGTTTCTCACATCTCTGTGCACAACACACACACATACACAAACACCCCAGAAATCTAGGTTCACTGTGAATGCGTCACATGCCCCCCAAACTCTGTGTTTTCGTACAGGTTGTTGCTTCTCTCAGAAATTCTTTCAATCTTCATGGCCCTATATGTCATCCTAAACCTGTCTTCTAATTTATATTCACAGTAGACACAATCACTGACTATATCTGAGATAAATGAGAAGCTGTGACAACAAGTCTATAAAGTAATTTTTCTGTCTTTTGGATTGAACTACGTTTGGGTTGGCGGTGAAGAAATCATCATTAGGGAAATCTCTCATGTTTGGTTCAGCCGGAGGCTAGAAAAGCAGAGGATCATTCCTAATCGTGAAACTAAGCCTGGATTCTAATTTTGCTTTCTATGAAATGGATGATTTACGTTGTTCTTCTAAAGGAAAATAACTCAATACATTGAAATTGGCACCAAACAAGTTCAGTAAGAATTACGATGAAAGATATCATATGTTCAAAACCTTCCTCAGTTACAAAAATCAAGCTTTACCTCTTAAAATGATTCACCAGGACTCCAACAAGTTCTCCAATTCGACTCTCGTGGGTTGGCTGTTTGCTGAAAAGGCAGACGATGAGGTCTTTGTTGTCTTTTGTATGGAACACTACAAGTTGGTCCTTTCCATTGGAGACACTCAGACCAGTCAACTGCAGACATAAATCATGGAAAACTATTAGGATGGTGTCTCAAGAAAAAAAAAAAATTGAAAATAATTTCATTATTATAATTTTTCCCCAGTTTATTTATTTTGAGATAGGGGGTATGTGCACATGAACTGGGCAAGGGAAAAGAGAGAGAGAGAGAGAGAGAGAGAGAAGAGAGAGAGAATCCCAAGTAGGCTCCACACTATCAGCAAAGAGCCTGACATAGAGCTCGATCTCATGAATCATGAGATCATGACCTAAACCGAAATCAAGAGTCAGTGCTCAACTAAGTTACCCAGGCGCCCCTAATACTATACTTTTGATCAGGGACCCTGGTGGCTTCAATTTTTACCAAGTTTCATGGAACAAGCAAGATGGAAGGAAATAAGATTAAAGATTAGTGACACTGAAAACAGAAAAATAATAGAGAAAAATCAATGAAACAATGAACTGCTTCTTTCAAAACACCAATAAAACAGCTAAGCCTCTAGTCTGAGAATAAAAGAGAGATGACCTAATTACCAATATGGAATGGAGGAGGGGATAGTACCACAGACCACACAAACATTAGAAGGATAACAAGGAAAAATATTCTCAACAACTCTGTGTACATAAATTCAACAACATGGATGAAACCAAATAATTCCTTGAAAGCCACAAACTACCAAAACACACCCAGAAAGAAATAGATAACCTGACTACTGCTTTATCTATTAAAAAATTAAATTTGTGGTTAGAAATGTTTCAAAAAAGAAAATTCTAGGCTCAGATGACTTCACTGGTGAATTTTACCAAATGTTTAAAGAAGAAATAACACCAATTCTTCTTATCTCTTCTTGAAAATGGAAGGGAACACTTTGTAACTCATCGTACAAGGCCACCATTATCCTGATACCAAAAAAAGATAAAGGCAGTACAAGAAAACTGTAAACCAATATCCAATATCTCTCATCAATATGGATGTAAGAATAGCCAATAAAATATTAATAGACTCCAACAATATATAAGGACAATAATATACTATGACCAAATGGAGTTTATCTAAGAAATGCAAAGCTAGTTCAGTACTCAGTAATTAACCACTGTAATCCATTGTTGCAACAGAATAAATAAGCCACGTGATTATATTATTTGATGCAAACAAAGTGATGAGTGATAGAAGCAGAAAAATCTTTAGCCCAGAAGGCTGACCTAAAGCCTGCATAGTTTTTTTTTTTTTTTTAATTTATTTCTAGGGGAGAGAGAGAGAGCGTGAGGAGGGGAGGGTCAGAGAGAGAGGGAGTCACAGACTGAAACAGGCTCCAGGCTCTGAGCTGGCAGTCAGCACAGAGCCCGACGCGGGGCCCGAACCCACGAACCGTGAGATCATGACCCAAGCGAAAGTCGGACGCTTAACCGACTAAGCCACCCAGGCGCCCCAAAGCCTGCATAGTTTTAATAAGGATCAAATAGGTGCTGGTTGCTGCTTTCCTAAAGGGTCTTATGACCACCTACAAATTTCACCAACAGTCATATCAAACTCAACGATAAGCACCAGAGAAATACTGAGAAAGTAGTTTCACAGGTAGAATTTTTTTTTATGGTTTATTTATTGTTGAGAGAGAGATAGATCATGAGTGGGAGAAGGCTAGAGAGAGAGAGAGAGAGAGAGAGAGAGAGAGAGGGAGACACAGAATCAGAAGGAGGCTCCAGGCTCTGAGCTGTCAGCACAGAGCTTGACGCGGGGCTCGAACCCATGAACTGTGAGATCATGACCTGAACTGAAGTCAGATGCTCAACCGACTGAGCCACCCAGGTGCCCCTCACAGGTAGAAATTTGAACATTTATTTTTACTTTATTAAAATTTATTTATTTTGAGAGAGAGAGAGAGAGAGGGAGAGAGAGAGAAGAGAAGAGAGAAAGCGCATGCATGTGCACAAGCGGTGAAGAGGCAGAGAAAGAGATGGAGAAAGAGAATCCCAAGCAGGGGCTCAATCGGGGCTTGAACTCACAAACTGTGAGGTCATGACCTGAGCTGAAATCAAGAGTCACATGCTTAACCCAATGAGTCACCCAGACACCCCTATTTTTAAATTTTTAAAAAGATTTAAAGTAAGCTCTACACCCAATGTGGAGCTTGAACTTACAATTCTGAGATCAAGAGTCACATATTCTGCAGACTGACATAGCTGGGCACCCCTCAATCTACTACTTACTGCATGTCCCCTCCCCCCTGAGTACAAAGCATATAACCACCAGCTGCATAGAGCAAAAGTGCATCTCTTTCTGCCCATGGGTCCTGTCCCCATGATATTTAAATAAACTTACTAATTTGCACTGTAAAATGTCTTAAGAATTCTTTCTTGGCCCTTGCACTCCATGACCCACCAACATTTTTGGTGGCCCTGCAAGGGGATTACGGAGTGATTTGCCTCAGTGTGATTTGCTAAATCCCTTTTATTCTCCCAGCTTCTACTTCTTTTTCTTTTCTAGAGATGTCCTGAATAGTATGACTCTTCAGAATGTGTCCTGTCTGAGTGCTCAGGAGACATCCTCTTGCCCATGGCTCTACTAAGGGGAAAACAAATTCCTGCTACCTGGCTGGACACCAGTATTTTGGCTGTAATGGTGTTGGCTCAGAAATCAGGCTCTCTCTGTTTTATCTGTTCTTTTAATACTCGTATTCTTCTTGGGCACAGGACAGACATATGTGCCCCTAGGACGCCGCTGATCTCAAGACTTCCATGGAAGGTTTCCTCCTAAATAACCAAGTGTGATCCCTCAATTAAACATAAAATCCGAGATACATCTGACCATATACGTGTTTCCTGAAAGGGTTTAATGGGAGCTGTTACCCAGTTGAGGCACTCATTCAGCGGGGGACTGGATCTGGGATAAAGCTCATGAGAAAGCTGCCCACATTAGATAGGAGCTCCATACTTTTGTTTTTCATATCTCTCATTTGTCCTGCCCATGGGCATTCTCAGTCCTGCTCTCAGATTGAAAGTACTTCTAGCTTAGATATATGTCACTTAATATGATACCAAATAGCTGCTGCTTCTTAACAAGGGCCAGGGCTTCTACCTCACCCATTAATACTAGATCCAGAGGCTTACAAAGGTATTATTACTGATTGTGAAATATACTGATGTCGCCCAAATGGAAAGAGGCAGCTCCAATCTCGGTGGCATTTCAGTCCATTCACTGACAGCTGCTATAGTCTAGGATGCAATAGGGAAGTGAAGAGAGATTGACACCCTTTTCAGGTAGTATAAAGGGGTCAGAGCAGTTGAAACTGAGGGACACCTCCCACCACTCTGAACTCCAGGAACCTTCGGCAATATTCCTGATGGGATGTCACTTGGAAGCTGAGGAGGATTTTGGTAATGGACTCCTAGTTAGTTAATGTACTCTCCTCATTTTGTAGGAATTAACTATGCGATCAGCTTCCTTGACCCCAAAGAATTCTCTTTTGGGTTGTTGTCACCTAACACAATGGAGTCAATCTGGACAACAGGATATAAAGAAGTGTCTCATCTTTTTCTGTAATAATGCTTGGCCTCAATATTCTCTGAAGCATAATAAAAAACAACCCATTAATGGGTCTTTAAGGTTCATTTCTATTTATCAATTGGACCTTTTGGTAGGCATCAGGGAAAATGGACCAAAATCCCACATAGTTAGGACTTTATGGCTCTCTACCAAAACCCTCATTTATCCATACTTCTTTAGGGGGTCTGGGGATACCCCTCTCCTCACCCTTTTCTCCTCAACCCACCATCAGCTGGCTGCCTAGGCCCTTCTACTTAACCCACCAGCTTCCCTGTGTTCTGTCATGTTTTTTACTTGCACCACCCCCTGCCCCCATCTCTCTGCCAATATCCTGTATACGCCTCCTTCTTTTTCCTGAGTTACTCTCTCCTCTTTTGTTTGCTTTGTGTGTCAGAGCTGGAATGTATCTTGCAACTACTGCATGAACGTTGCCTGACTCTTGTGCGGGGTTTTCTCCTTCATTCATTTCCTGGGTTAATGGCTATGATAATTGGAGCCAGTTGTCTGGTAAGTCTACCTCGGTATGGGGACCTTAAAGAACATTCCCAAGAAGCTGTCGAAACTCCTTTTGCCTCGGGGAGGTTCCCTGTCTTCTCTGCCTGACACAGACGGCCTATTTTCACTTTCTGTGGGTGGAAAGAAAAGGTGTGCCTGTTCATTTTCTGTGCTGGTGAACTTTAGGACTGAGAGAGTCCTTTTTCTCTGCCCTCTTGCTGGCAGCACCTCACCTCTTCTGCCTCCACCCCCCTGCTCCTCTTTCCCCACCACGTTGGGTACCACTTGCATAATGGCTCCCGTACCATCCTCCATGCCCTCAGTGCCATTGGCTCCTGTTCTTCCTATCCTTGCTATCAAGGAATGGAGAGTGCCTCTCTCTGGACTTAAATCGCTCACTTCAGATTTCCCCACCAGTGCCCCAGGTAAAAATTGACAATGGGGAATAAACTGATTAGTGAGTGTACCCAGGTGCAATATATTCAGTATTGAGGCTAACTTGAGATTGTTAGTTTAAAGGTAAACATGTCTTTAGAGTTATCAGCACTAAATATAAAACTTTTATTCTATCAAGGTTGGCAAAAGGTCAAATAAACTTGTATTATCTCTGGTGCAATCTGTCAGCAAAAAGATGACTTAAAATGATGGTTAATTTTGTCTGAAAGTTTTCATGGGTAATTGTTAAGAACAAGTAGGCTGAATAAATAAAAGGTTTACGGGTAAAACATTGTTTGTTTATTTTTAAGCTTTTAAAATGTTTATTTTTGAGAGAGAGAGACACACACACACAGCATGAGTGGGGTGGGGCAGAGAAAGAGGGAGACACAGAATCTGAAGCAGGCTCCAACCTCTGAGCTCTCAGAACAGAGCCTGAACTCACAAACCACGAGATCATGACCTGAGCTGAAGTTGGACCCTTAAGTGACTGAGTCACCCAGGAGCCCCATAGGTAAAACTTTTAAATAGCTTTCAAAATTTTTGGTAACATGAAACTTTGGAGCTTTTTTTTTTTTTAATATTTATTTATTTTGAGAGAGAGAGAGAGATCACGTGCTCATGCAAGCAGGGGGAAAGGCAGAGAGAGGTAGAATCCCAAGCAGGCTCTGCACTGTGAGCTCAGAGCCTGACACAGAGCTTGATACCATGACTGTGAGATCATGACCTGAGCCGAAATCAAGAGTTGGAGGTTTAATCAACTGAGTCACCCAGGTGCTCCTGACACTCTGACGTTTTGCTAAGTTAAACAATAAATTGGGTTGCATTTATTGGATATCCAAATCTTTTCCAAATAAAGACTAAAGCATGTTTACTAAATGTAGGTTTGGGTCCTTGGCTTCTCACCACAGAGAAACTGACGATATTGGGTCTATTGGTAAACTTGCTTTATGCTTTGTTGAAAGTTTGTACTATGGAAAAATACATTTTTAGAAAATTATGAAACATGTTCATGAATTTCAAATCTAAAGAATTTTGGTGTAACAGACCATTCACAATTGGTTACTACTTAATTTTCTTTGGAGATTAATGTTTTTAAGAGTTAAAGTTCCGCTAAATGTAATTAAGGCTTAAGGAGGGACACAGGGTGGCTCAGTCCAGTAAGCACCTGACTTTGGGTCAGGTCATGAATTCGCAGTTCATGGGAGGCTCTGTGCTGACAGCTCAGAGCCTGTAGCCTGCTTTGGATTCTGTGTCTCCCTCTTTCTCTGCCCCTCCCCTATTCACACTCTGTCTCAGTCTCTTAAAATAAATAAATGTTAAAAAAATTTAAAGAAGGGGCACCTGAGTGGCTCAGTTGGTTAAGCGTCCGACTTTGGCTCAGGTCACGATCTCACCATTTGCGGGATCGAGCCCCGCATTGGGCTCTGTGCTAACAGCTAGCTCAGAGCCTGGAGCCTGCTTCAGATTCTGTGTCTCCCTCTCTCTCTGACCCTCCCCTGATCACGCTCTCTCTCTCATAAATAAATAAAAACACTTAAAAAATTAAAAAAAAATTTAAAGAAGACTCATAGAAATAAGGAAAGCAACTCTGTATGTAGAAAACTAGAGGACTATGAGAAAGATATAAGAAATGGGAATACCTTTTGCTGAGGGAAAAAGATATTCTGTCCTAAAATGAGACTAATTGTTTAGGACAAAATCTGAATAAAAAAGGAAGCTGTAGAAGATTTGTGAAGGGAAATTTTTGGAAAAGAATTTTATTTATGGTCAGGACTGAGGTTGAAATGAATGAATTTTAAAAAGTACACTGGCATAAAACTGAAATTCGGCTTTTCTATTTGTTAAAAAGACAATATTTTCTTGGATTGTTGGTCTGCTCTTGAAAAGAAAATGTAAATAAAGTTTAAAAAATTTTTCTTTATCTGTCCAGGAAACCAAAACTTCTATGTTTTGTCTTATCAGGTCTTTGATTACTTAAGAAAGTTAAAACTTCTCAACATTAAAGGAACTAAGTTTTGCTAACAGCTCTATAGCATCCTGTAGAATCTCTTACTGCCAGCTTGGTTAAATGTAAATATTAAATTTATAATGACCTGTAATCCTATTTAGGCATATAATTAAAAATATATAAAAATATAATTTCGTGTATTCTAGAAAATATATGAAATTCCTAAAGTTTTAATATGTTCTAATATAAGGTCATCACTTGACACTTTAATTATTAAAATGCTATGTGTCACAGGAATAACTAAGTTTCCTTGTCAGCTACATTATAATGAACTCTCTTATCAGATCTTTAACCATTCTATTTTTGAGTCTCTTGTGGTTTGCAGTTATTATTCTAATGCTCTTGTAGAATGGGTTTTGTCTTCAAGGAGATTCAGGAAAAGGACTTTTGGCAAATACAGGTTTTTGGTATCTTTAAAAATCATAAAACTAAAATGGTTAAGCATATCCAGAACTAACGGAAAAAGCTGCATCCGAAAAACTAGAATTAGTAGTATGGCACTAAATAAACTGAGGAAGATGATTATAGTTTTTGTCACTCTTACTTGACACACTGCTGGTTCCCTGATGTTTGCTCTTCTAGATTTAAAGAAAGTTTCTCTTAAGAAATCTATAACTTACAGAAATGTGATAAAGGTTTCCTTTGTGAACAAATTGAAACAGTTAACTCTTTTTTTTATTGGAATTCTCCAGAATTCAGAAACTCCCAGTATTTTTTCTTTCTTGGCAATTAGCTATTTGCATAAGTTCAATAAGAATTTGTTCTCTTTGTAGTTTCCTCAAAAAGTTAAAAACAGAACTAACCTACCATATAGCAATCACACCAATAGGTATTTACCCAAAGGACACTAAATACTAATTCAGTAGGATACACACATCCTGATGTTTATAGCAGCATTATCTACGATAGCCAAATTGTGGAAAGAGCCCAAATGTCCATCTACTGACGAATGGATAGAGAAGATATAGTATATACGTGCAATGGAATATTACTCAGCCATAAAAAGAATGAAATCTTGCCATTTGCAATGACATGGATGGAGCTAGACAGCATAATGTTAAATGAAATAAGTCAGAGAAAGACAAATGCCTTTTGATTTCACTCATATCTGGAGTCTGAGAAACAAAACAAATGAGCAAAGGAAAAAAAAAGGGAGAGAGGCAAACCAAGAAACAGATTCTTAATTATAGAGAACAAACTGATGGTTACCAGAGAGGAGGTGGGAGGGGAGATAGGTGAAATAGGTAAATGGGACTAAGGAGTACATTTGTGATGAGCACCGGGTGATGTATGAAACTGCTGAATCACTATATTGTACACCTGAAACTAATATTACACTGTATGTTAACTAACTGAAATTTAAAGAAAACTTAAAAAGAATCTATTCTTGTAAAGGACACCACTGGAAACACTGGTTGTATTACCAAGGTTTTGACTGGAAGGTCCTATGTGAGAGAGACATGCATAGACTCTCATATGACCAGACTGCTCTAAAGAATTAAAGTTGACTTTATGGAGTCAATAAAGCCCCTTAAAATGTTGGCTTGATACCTTGCTTACTGAGTTCCCAGCAGCCTTACTAGGGGAGTAAAGAATGTCACTTGCTGGCAGGTGCAGGAAAACTCTGGATATTTTGGGGACTTCAAGAAGAAGAATATACCCAAATCTATAGGTATTATAGGCAAGTCTGATGAAAACAATTTGGCTCAGCTCTACCCCTAAGCACCTATTAAAAGTTCAGTCTAGAGGGGTACCTGGGTGACTCAGTTGGTTAAGCCTCTGACTCTAGATTTCAGTTTAGGTCATAATCTCACAGTTGTGAGATGGAGCCTCGAATTGTTGGACTCTTCACTTAGTGTGGAGCCTGGTTAGGATTCTCTCATTCTCTCTCTCTCTCTCTCTCTCCTCCTTGCCTGCTCACATCGTTGTGTACATGCACGCTCTCTCAAAAACGTTCAATCTACAGATTCCTTATGAAAAGTTCCTGCAAAGCAGATTTTGAAGGATCCATATAATCAATCACTATTCTTGCTGAATATTTATCAAGGACCTTGCTGAGCTTAAATAATTAGGCCAAGTTTGTTAAAACTGGACTTGTTTTACAAGCGAATCAGTCTTGATTTGGCTGTCTCTGGAAATAAGGGTGAACTTAGAGAGAAAAATTATCTTTCTCAATTATGTATCCTTATGGGTGTTAGAGTCTAGTTTTAATTAATTGTCTTTAAATGTTTGTTGTTTGCTTAAGCTAGACAACTTGGGGTAAACTTCAGAGATACTGCTATAAGTCTTCCTGCTTGTTACTCTGTGGAGATAATAAAAGGGACCCCATGGACCTATGATTATTTGAATAGCTGGACAATGGAATGGACTCCTCAACAACTGTGTAAGTCAGCTCTCACCCTGATCAATGCTATGTGTCTGGGATAACACAACTGCTCCTTAAAACCAGATTATACCCCACTCCATGGAGTTAACTTGGACTTATAGGAATAATGTACGGCCGAGCCCTGGGTTATCCTGGATGTGGGAGGGTGACAATGAACTGGACGATGTGCCCTCATATTCTTGTGAACCAGTGGAAGGTCTCAAATTCCTCTTTAAATGACGAGATAAAAAAAAAAAGAAGGTTTCTGATCTTGCCATCTACACACCATACCTAAATGGAACCCTTTCCTACAAGGGGCCCAACACTATGCTGGGCTGGAACCAGTCTCCGGGCTGGGTTTGTGGCTCACGCCCACAACAAGCACTTAAGGCCTCTCTTGCTGGGTGTCTCCATTACGAGGTACAGACTGGCATTATTTACATCCATACGCAGCTGAAACGATACCACACCCTAATACCAGCACATAGAGGGATATTTTTATTTATTTATATTTATATTTATTACTAAAAAGAATGTTTCTTGCTGGCCTATGGTAAATGTTACATGGGACTCTCCAGGCCATAAGAGGCCTTTTTCTTATCCTCAAACTATCACAATTTTAACTGAATATGCCAATCCACAGATAGTCTGACGACAACAAACTCCTTGACTGTATAGTCCTTCCTATCGATATACCCAGGAAGGATTATCTCAACTAGGGGATGGATATATGTGGCTCACTACCACAATAGGACAATTAAGTCAAAAGGCACATCCCTTATGCTAAGAGAAAAACCATACCCCTGATTCATGGCCTAACAGTGCTTGGCCGAAGGGATGGTTACCCCCCCCCCCCCCCCCCCCCCCCGTAGCCTGTAACCATACCATTATTTTACAGGCAACTGGCTGGTTTGCTATTGACTGGACAAGGTGGTCAGACACCAGACGGCTAGCACCTAATGGAACACAACGGTTATGTGGGCCAAATTTGTAGGCATGGCTTCCACCAGGCTGGACTGGAATATGTTCTATGGGTTATGCCTGGACACACGGCCGTGGCACTGAGACTATCACAAGTCCAGCGAATCTTCTGTAGCTAAAATGATGACGGACAAGGTCTGTGCTCCTTTAGTATGAGGATCTGACACCTATTTTTCTTCCATCAGTAGGTCTAGAAGATGTTTTATGGCACATAGAGGTCCTTGATAAATACACAGGTAAGATTTTAAAATGACTCTCAAAATAGCATTACATTATTAAACACCAAAATGACCCAGGTGCATAAAGCAGTTCTACAAACAGGTAAGATTTTAAAATGACTCTCAAAATAGCATTACATTATTAAACACCAAAATGACCCAGGTGCATAAAGCAGTTCTACAAACAGAATGGCAGTAGATGTCTTAACAGCAGCACAAGGACAGGCATGTGCCATTATTAAAGCAGAATGCTGTGACTCCATTCCAGATGGTGACAAAAACATAACAGGATTACTTGTTGATATGAATAATCAAACTGACGCTCTTAAAGACCCTACATTGCCACTTAATGCCTGGTTACATTTGTGGTTGGGAGGTAGACTCTGGTCCACACTTAAAGCATCTTCTCACTGCTCTTCTGATTTTCTTTCTTTCTTTTTTTTCTTAAAGTTTATTTATTTATTTTTTTGAAAGCGAGAGAAAGAGAGCACGAACATGGGAGGGACAGAGAGAGGGGGAGAGACAGAGAATCCCAACCACTAACAGTGCAGAGCCTGATGTGGGGCTCAAATTCCCAAACTGTGAGATCAAGACCTGAGCTGAAATCAAGAATCAGATGCTTAACTGACTGAGCTACCCAGGTGTCCCTCTTATTTTCATTATAATAACAATGTATTGTCCCTTGGGCTTTGTTCTTTTCTACTGTGGAGATACATGCAAGCAGGTGCAGACTCTTTCACTCAAAAGATCTTACTACTCAAAAAAATTCACCCTGATGTCCTCTCTGGACTCTACAGCAGTGGTCTTCTATTATAGTTACTTGTAGGGGCAGATAGTGACCAATTTCAGACCCAAGGTAGCAATATCTCTACGACCCCTGACAGCTTGAAAAAGTTACAGAAGATGAGTCCCTCGCCCTTTAACAACCTTAAAAGATTTAAGGACCAAAAACTGGTCAGGGGGGAAACAATGAGGGACAGAGGCAGGAAAGTGTTCACCTTTAGCACAGAAGGCTGACCTGTATACAGCCTGCAGAGTTTCGATAAGGATCAAATATGTGCTGGTTACTACATTCTTAAAGGGTCTCATGACTTCCTGTACATCTCACTGATAGTTAATATCAAACTGAATGATAAGCAACAGAGAAATCTTGTGAATGTAGTTTCTTTTTAATTAAAAATTTTTTTAGTGAATGTAGTTTTATGAGTGGAAATCTGAAGAAGCATTTATGATCTACTACTCCCTGCACATCCCCTCCCCCTTGAGCACTGGGCATACAGCCACCAGCTGCACAGAGCAAGAGTGCAGCTCTTTCTGCCCACGGGTCCTGTTCCCGTGATACTTAAATAACTTCCCTCAGATGCACTTTACGATGTCTCAAGAATTCTTTCTTGGCTATTGTGCTCCACAACCCCACAACAAAGGCACCTGACAATATTCAACATTCATTCGTGATAAAAACCTCTCAAGAAACCAGGATGAGAAAAGAACTCAACCTGATAAATCACATCTACATAAATTAACAACACACTTAGTGGTGAAGGGGATCTTTCTGTGGAGATCAGAAGCAAGGGAAGGATTTCCATAGTCACTGCTGTTGTGCAACATCATACAAGAGGCCCTCGCCAGTACAGTAAGGCAGGTTTAAAGAAATTTAAAAGGCATATAGATTGAAAGGGAAGAAACCAGAGTCTTTCTATTATTTGATTACATGATTATCTACATAAAAAAAATCCCCAAGGTACCTACAAAATAGCTCCTAGAACTGATAAGTGGGTTTAGCAAGGTCACCAGATTTGTTGGTCACAAGGCCAACACGCAAAGATATTTCTCTATACTAGTAATGAACAACTGGAAATATAGTTTTTAAAAATAAAAAAAAATTTTTAATGTTTATTTATTTTTGAGAGAGAAAGAGAGGGAGAGATGGAGAGAGAGAATCCCAAGTAGGCTCTATGCTGTTAGCACAGATGCTGACACAGAGCTTGATCTCACCAACTATGAGATCATGACTTCAGCTGAGATCAGAGTTGGATGCTCAATTGACTGAGCTGCCAAAGTGCGCCAAAAAACTAAAAAAAATTCAAGTGTAGTTGGCATATAATTTTGGAAACAGAAATTTAAAACAAAACCATCCACGGCAACTCCAAAAACAAAAATACTTATTTTTTTCCCAAACCAAAAATACTTATATGTAAATCTAAAAAACATGTATAGGACCTATATGCTGAAAAGTACAGAATCAAATCAAATTGCTGATGAAAGTAAATAAACAGAAATAACATGTTTATAGATTGGAAAACACATTGTTAAGATGCCAATTTTCCCTAAATTGATCTATGGATTTAATGCAATCCTAACCAAAATCCCTGCATAACTTTTTGTAGATATCAATAAGCTGCTTCTAAATAGTGTATGGAGGGGTGCCTGGGTGGCTCAGTCAGTTGAGTGTCTGACTCTTGATTTTGGCTCAGGTCATGCTCTTCCGGTTTGAGAGCCCTGCGTCAGGCTCTGTACTGATGATGCAGAGCCTGCCTGGGATTCACTCTTTCCCTCTACCCTTCCCCACCCAAGTGAATAAATAAACATTTAAAAAAAAAATGTGTATGGAAAGGCAAAGGAACTAGAATATCCAAAACTATTTGAAAAGGAGAACAAAGTTGAAAGACTCACAGTAGCTGATTTTCTTACTATAAAGCTACAGTAATGAAGATAATGTAATTGTCAAAGGGATAAAAACATAGATCAGTGGATCAGAATGAAGAGTCAGAAATAGGTACAAATATGGCCAATTGATTTTTCACAAAGCTACAAAGGCAATTCAATGGAGAAAGGATAACTTGGATATTTGGATAACTTGGACCACTTGAACATCCATAAGTCAGGCCTTCTATAAAATGAATTCAAAATGGATCACAGATGTAAATGTAAAACCATAAAACTTTTAGAAGAAAACAGGAGAAGGTCTCTGTGGCCTTGGATTGGGGAAATATTTCTTAGAAATATCACCAAAAGTGTAACTCATAAAAGAAAAAAATTGTTAAACTGAATTTAACCAAACTGAAAACTTTTCTTTGAGAAAGACACTGGTAGGAAGATGAGTAGGTAAAGAACTCTTAAAACTCAACAATAAGAAAGCGAACAACTCAGTTTAAAAATGAGCAAATGGGGCTGCCTGGGTGGCTCAGTTGGTTAAGCATCTGACTCTTGATTTGGGCTCAGGTCCAAGATCGAGCTGTCAAGGCAGAGCCTGCTTGGGATTCTCCCTCTCTCTCTGCCCCTCCCTAGCTCATGCATGCATGCTTTCTCTCTCTCTCTCTCACTCTCTCTTTCTCTCCCTCAAAATAAATAAGTAAATAAACATTAAGAAAAAATTAAGAATGAGCAAAGTATTTGAAGTCACTTCACCAAAGAAGACATACAGGTGGCGAATAAGTGCATGAAAAGATGCTCCACATCACTAGCAATTAGGGAAATCAAATTAAAACCATAATGAGATACCACCATGGACCTACCAGAATGGCCAAAATAAAAACAAAGCAACAAGAACAAAGCGACAAACTGGTGGGGATGCAAAACAGGTGGACTCTTATACACTGCTGGTGGGAATGTGAATTGATATAATCACTGGGAAAACAGTTTGGCAGTTACTAAAAGAGTTAAAGGTAGAATTACCATGTGGGATGCCTGGGTGGCTCAGTCAAGTGAGCGTCTGACTTCAGCTCAGGTCATGATCTCATGGTTCATGAGTTTGAGCCCTGTGTCAGGCTCTGTGCAGAAGCACGGAGCCTGGAGCCTGCCCAGGTTCTGTGTCTCCCACTCTCTCTGCCACTCCCCTGCCCATGTTTGGTCTCCTCGCCTCTCAAAAATAAATAAAACATCAGAATTACCATGTGACCCAGCAATCTCATTCCTAGGCATATATCCCAGAGAAATAAAAACATATGTTCACTCAAAAAACTTACACAGGAATGTTTATAGCAACTCTATTCACAATGGCCCCAAACTGGAAATGAATGGAATATCCATGGATAAACTATGAACATCTATACAATGTCATGCTCTTCCGCAATAAGAAGAATAAGCTAATGATACAAATTATTAATATGCAACAGTGTGGATAACTTGCAAAGCCATTATGCTGAGTGAAAGCAGTCAGCCTCAGTAGATTACATACTGTAGGATCCTGTCTATGTGATACTCTCTAGAAGACGGAACTATAAGGATGGACAACAGAGGGGGGTTGTCAGAGTTTAAGGTCAGGGGTAGTCTGACCCACAGGAGTTGTCTGGGGATGGTGGACAACTGCGTATCCTGACTGGGGCGGTGGCTACATGCATCTATACAAGTGTGAAGACCCATAGACTTGTAAACCAACCAACCACCACTACAAGCCAATTTTATTACATGTAAATATAAAAATAGAGCTCCTTGCTTATTTTGATCCCTGGATAGTCTACTTCGGTCAGTAAAGCAGAAGCCTGAGAGATTTCTCACTCTGTGGTTTGTTCTACTGCAGAAAATACCAAAGTGCCACCTCCTGGCCACCACAGGTGCTGTCAGTCTGGCAGTCAACACTGGCAGGGCATCCACTGGGGGCAATGCCGAGTGCCAGGCTCCCTGCGGGGGACGGGAGAACCTAACATGCTGAAGGTGCAATCCTGTCGTAGGGGGATTCACAATCCAGGGGGATCAGTGGAAGAGACAAACAAACAACTGGAAAACATTTTAATAGTTCGTGTATTTGGAAGGCCACTTAGTTCCATGTCTGTATTTTACAGATAGAGAAACTGAGGCTCAAAGAGGCTGGCGGGTCTGCAGACCTTGGAACTGGAACTCAGGCCTGCAGACGGAGCCAAAACCATGTCCTTTATTGTAAGCAGTTTCAGATACCACATACAACTGAACATAAGCTGCATACGTAAGTATTCCTAAACATCAAGTGAATACATTTTCATAGGAGGTGAGTTCTTAGGTTGATTTTAAAGAATGCCAGGGCCAGTGCTCGGAGGAGGGAA